ATTAAATGTCTCCATTGCTCACGGGCGCATATGCATAACGAAACATGATAGGATACTGATCCACAGTGGCATTTTAATATAAAAATAAAATCAATCAAGAAAAGTTTCCAGACGTTTTTAAAGGCACAGAATAGCGCAAATTACTGCTACAATGGGCTTCCGACTGTTACTCTAATCGAAAGTAGACAAAATTCAATTTAAGTTATTTAGGCGATTTGAGCTGCACTTTACTGGGACGTGGAAGTTGGGCCAATTCTTGGTAAAAGCCTTCGCAATGTCTTGGTCGCTTGACTAACATGCTTATTGTTATTAACTTYCAACTAATGTGATGAAAGCTTATTTTCACGAGACTTTTTCTAATARTCGTAGGACACGTGACCATTTATTTTCTTTGTTTTTCTTTCTTTGTTTATTTCTCTCCTATTCGGTCCTTTGCGGCAATTACGGCATTGTGCATCAGCTAATCAAGTTAAACCTCTTTTGTTCAAATTACACGCCTACACGTTCTTATGTGGGTTGCTTTAATGTCTTTAATTCATCGCTTAAAATACGGCGGCAAACAATTTTGACTATCTTGCTCTAATTATTTCTTGTGTCTAACACTTCTTTCAACAAAACTTTTTGCAAACTAAATAGTTAAACTATTGCAAAAAGGAGATCTTGATCTACAAACTCCAAAAGAATTAAAACGATTTTTTCTAGTCAGCTGAGCCTGCAAAAGCATGTGTTTGGACATAATATATGGTGATCTCGTTGATAAATCCGCGTTTAAACGGTTTCCGAAATAGCAGGACATTATACTGCATTAAAGAGAGAATTTTTTACGTACGCTGTAAAATGTACACAAGTTCCAGGTTGACTGGAAAGGAGCAGTTTCCAATAGTAGTCCAGCGAGGTCAATACAAATGCTGCAATCTGAAAGTTYGCGTTACCATTCGARCCAGTGTCACAAGGTAAGAACAGTTAAAAAAAACTGCACGATTGAAATATATCTTTTTAATAGATGCTTTTTGCTTGTATTTCCAGTGTAGATTTTATATGATTATGTACAGMGACGATTCCAKTGTGGAAGACGAACAATTTTATGTTGTTGAGTAAGTAAAGAGTASATGTCTTTGTCTTTGCTACAAATAACTAGCTTACTAGACTGTCTGAAAAATGATATTGAAAAATGTCCGCCCATGAAATCTTTTGAATCTCTTTAAATCTCACTAAAATCATCGATTGTTCAGTTAAATCGCTTTTATAAGACAGTGGGCTGCTGCTAAAACATCAGAAATGTATTTTCCATACTATGTGCCAGTTTCACTYGCAAATAATTTTTTATACAGTCATCACATTTACATGTAGTAAATTATATTTGCATTANTGGCTTTCTTTTCATTGGTTGTCCATTCATTAACCCCTGCATGCAACATTGATGCGGGAGGGGAGGGTGGGAGGGGGAATATTTTCAGTTTATGCACACGATACAATATTTTTAATGCTCCAGCGAAAAATTGTCAAGTATTTATGTCCACGATTGTAGGTAGAGAATTTACATTTTGACCGCTCGACCGGCCATTTGGCAGCTTGTTCCTTGGATAGTGTAGGAAATAAAAATGTAAGATGCACCTTAAAATTTGGTAGCTATCATGAAATTTTTAGTCCTTTTTTTATCAAACCTAACATCTATCATTATTCCTTATCTGGTACCTTTAAAAACTTCACCACTACATGTTATTGATCTTTATGGTTTTTTTTTTTTGCTCTTTTTGTAAAATGTCGAAAAACGTGTTTGATGTATATATTGTCATGTGACCTAGTGCTGCCTGGTTACTTAACTCGGTTGCAACMTCCCTCGATATTCATTTCATGCAGCCATTTTTAATTTGGAATTTTGATCATGTTTTTGTTATGATTACCCTGCGAGCAGAGGAATTTTTCCCCTATCTACGAAAGGAAAAACACCTCTGACACAGGACGGTTAGTTCTTGTGATGTTGCCGCCTCCAAAAGGTAAACCATGTGATCACTCCACGTGACTAACTTGATAAACCGGTGATAAACCGGTTTTTTAGTGTACGCGCTTGTTCTTATAGCTCCAACCGCTGTTATTATGAGCCCTCAWTGCTTAAAATGGCGGACATAACAACGAAGCGTCTTGAATCTCTTGTGATAAATGCTCTATAATATAATAATAATATAATAATATGTGGTATTTATATAGCGCCGATATCCTCTGAGTTCAAAGGCGCTTCACATGTATAGATCATTTCACACGGACCGCTGGGCGCAATTGGCAGCCACGCGGCTTACAATCAATCTATCAAAGCTACAGAATTCCTGTATTACTAATTTAACTTCTTATCAGTTCAAATYATTGTTTTCCTTTTTGAATAAGAGGGATACTTTTGTAAGTCTACCGACGGGCCATGGCAAATCTTTGATTTATGAAATTGCTATCGGAGTCTGCCAGGAAATCATGCTCGAAGACGATTGTGAACAACAAGAACCTATTATATTGGTTGTATCGCCACTGAATGCATTGATCGATGACCAGATTCAGTCTTGTTCAAGGATGGGAATCAACGCAACTAAACTTGATGCTGAAAGCCTAAAGAGTTACGGAYAAGTTTCAACACACAGCATTATTTATACTAGCCCAGARGTCCTAGAAAGCATTTCTGCTAGAAAGTATTTGCAAACAATAAGCGATCGTCTAGTTGGCATCGTTATTGATGAATCACATTGCGTTGTAAATTGGTATGTGATCATTTACTATTTACATATTCCATTTATGTTGACATGTTCGTAAATTTAACTTGAAAAAAATAAACTTATGCGAGGGATCATTGTTTATAGCTGTTGTAAGAATGCATTTAGAGAGTGCCCTGTACAGTAATTCTCTTTCACATGTCTGGTCTAAAACAATGGATACTAGAAAAAGTTTTTGCTTTTACAACTACAGTATGTATTGATCATTTTAAAAATGTATTTCAGGGGTTTGGAAGCATCCAATGGAGAAATATTCCGTGAAGCATATGGCCGAGTTGGAAATCTCAGAGCTTACACCAAGGCTCCATTTCTCTGYCTGACTGCCACAGCTAGTGTTGCTCTGAGAAAGAAAATATTAAAACTCTTGCACATGAAAAATCCAAGGGTCATAAAACTCTCTCCAGAAAAGGATAACATAAAGATTAAAGTATACAAAGTAAACCATAATTTGGAGGAGACATTGGGATGGCTAGTAGAGGAACTGGCAAGCCAAAAGAGATGCACTGCAAAAACAATTGTATACTGTCAAAGCATAAGTAATTGTGGGGAGYTGTATTCTTTGTTTTCTGAAAGTATACCCTCTGATGCCATGCTGTTTGCTATGTACCACAGCAAAACCCCAACTGACATACAAAGTCAAGTGCTTGAACAATTCATACAACTGGATAGCGCAATTAGAGTGGTCTTTGCCACAAGTGCACTGGGAATGGGGGTCAACGTTCCAGATATTCGTCGAGTTATACATTATGGCATCCCCCGAGATCTTGAACAGTATGTCCAAGAAATAGGAAGAGGTGGCCGTGATGGTAAACAAAGTGAATCTATTATGTTTTATTGYCCATACCATTTGGCACACTGTGATAATTCTGTTCGAGATTTTGTAAAAAACACTTCAGGACAATGCCGAAGGGAATTAATTKCCAACTATTTCAAAGAGAAGCCCTTGATCACAGAAGTTAAACATACCTGCTGTGATCATTGTGCTAAACATTGTGATTGTGGAGAAGCTGAATGTACTGAAGACAAAATTCTAAGCTCAAAGTTGGTTAAGGAGAAATGCTGCAGAACTGTAAATGAATCAGAACGTGAATTACTAAAGGATATTTTGCATGAGGTCCAGAGTTCGTTTGAAAACACTGTGTCAATATTGGGGATGAACTCTTTATCATCACTCTCAAGTGGTGTCATCAGMGAATTATTAAACAATTCTCACTATATTTTTACACTGGAGGATGTAATGGAATACTCTGGTATTTTAGATATAAGTCTTGCCCATGAAGTTCTCATTGCCTTTAATGATGTTTTTGATGGGGATATTGATGAATATGAACTTATCAAATCAGCAAACCAGGATTTACTTGAAGATACTGATAAATATGGATTTGTACCAGATTGGTGTACACAAGATAGCATTTCAGAGTCTGAAGAACAAACGGACAGTTCGGACAGTGACAGTGAGTTACAGTAATATAATCCTTCATGAAGTCTGTAATTTTCATTAAAAACTTATGGTTTCTTCTGCAAAAAGTGGTTAAAGCACTATGTTTGTAACTTACCAGAAGGTTATGTAATTTGATTTAATTATAATAATAATTGTATATATTAACCAGTACTAGTATAACAAAAACATCATAATATTAGCATCCTAGTAGAAGTAGAAATGTTTGAATGCATATTGCCAGTTTCTTTCCTAATTAGCCATTTGACGTTTGCTTTTCTGTATCAAATTGTACCTCCTTTTATCATTACAACAGTTTTACAAAGTTGTGATTCAAGATTGCTAAACATTAAGTTATTCTTATACATACATTAAGTGATGTGTCTTATCAAACATTATCTACAAGTCACTATAAATTATAGTGACTACCTGTATCAATTTCAACTGATTCACCTGAAATATAATCAAAATTACTCAATCATTCAAACTTGTAATGTCCTTTGTTTTGACGGTGCCACTTATTCCTATGCTTCTTAATCCATTTATACAGTGACTTTGCATCCAATCTGCTGAAAAGATTGGAGGTAAGTCCAGGAAATGCAGTATATTGCCTTCCAGCTGTAAAGTTGAATATCTTGCCTTTCTCCACAAGTTGATTCAGTACCACAGAGAAGGTTTCAATGCAGTGTTTGTTGGAATGTCGCCCATCTTTGGCTGAAATCTTTAAATCAGTGTTTGACTGGTGAATGAGTTTCTCCATTGCTCCTGTTGCTCTAGTTGCATTCTGTACACTGGTTAATATTTGGGAATCCAAGTGTTCGGATTATTTCCTTTGAAATTTTGTTGACGTGCTCAAGTCTGAGATCTCGGGAAATTCGCTTCGCTGGACCAGATTTTGTAGACGCAAATCTGTTCCATATTAAACGGTGACTCTGCTTTGGTGTTAGCAAAGCCAAACGTGCAGCACTGAGGCGCAGCCCTGCCAGTGCATATTTTGTGTGACCACACAGTCTGTACAAAAGTGTAAAAAATCTCCAAATTCGGCATAATCTCTCACCATCTCCCTCTTTAACAGAATCATCAGCATTTCTTAGTAGTAGACCAGGGGTTAGTCTCAAGCATCCATATTGAAGATATGGTCATCTGTTGTTTCCTTGTCTTTTTTGTACTCGGTTACTTTTTCCTTCGAGTCTTTGTCATCATTACGTTCAGATTTTTTCTCTGTTTCCTCTTTATCTATTCTTTCTTCTCTAGGTAGGTCATGTTCTGGGTCTTCAACYATCATACCATGGACTCTTGCTTCATGGTTCTTCTTACATTTTGCATACTTATACACTTTTGAGCATCCAGGAAAAGAGCAGTGAAGATCAGGTCTGGGTTGATTCATCTCTCTACAACTTTTGACAGTTTTAGAAATGTTATTTATGCCATCCATGGCATAGATGTCGAGCATTTTGTTGATGTGATCATGTAACCATTTTCTTCTGATTTCTTTGCTGCTTTTTTTAGGTATGATGGAATGGTATTTTYTGATGGTACAGAGCTAGCACTGCTCATGCCAAAATACTCCATTGAGGCAGCAGCTATAAAAGCATCTGTTTCTTCATTAAAKAAATCTTTAACGGAATTGAAGTTGTCCAGTACATCCTTCAGGGCATTATTGTTGCCAGAAATGATTGCATTAGATTGCACAGTCTCCAATTGATTTTGGTTTATTGAGTATCTTTAAAGCAGCCTAAAAAACAATGTGTGGGTATTTAATATATACATTTTCATTCACATACACAAGCTTTATTTGTAAAAACAAATACCTGATATGCAATTCTAATAGCATGCCAATCTTCGTTCTTTGGCCAACCCCTGCAAGACTTGATTTCACATCACAACCATCCATTCTAGCTTTCTGTACATTCCTCGCTCTTTCTTCTGTTAATTCATCGCCTCCAAAGAATACACAATCAGCTGGTTTATCTTTAACCCATGGAACATATTTGTCTTGAATGACCTCAATAATACCAATCATATCTTCGTTTACGTTTTCATTCTTATCCAATGTTCCTAACAAGACCTGTAATAAAGAGAATAATAAGAAATCAGGTATATTAAARACACATAAATATGCTCTCTGGTGAGTTAGGAGCAACTTTTCAAATACATCATAAATTCAAGTGCTTCTTACACTATTCTTTAATAAATGAAGCACAAAACATTAAAAAAGAAAGGACTTTTACAAAAACTTGAATCAGATTTGCTATTGCAAAAAACAATTTGAATAATAGATAATAATGATAAATTACTCAATCTTTCTTTACCTCATTTGATTTTTTTTGCATTTCCATGCTATACTGATGCAGTATATGATAAACAACAGTATTACGGAACATTGAAAACTCTTTAAAATGCTTGACAATTACACGTGACCAAAGGGGAACAAAATCGTCCTTTAGGAGAAGGATCTCTTGCCTTGAGGGTAGAAACTCGTGAACAGGGATTTGAGAAAGTTCTTTAGTATGGACATCAGGTAAGTGGTTCCCAGTGACGTCATCCTCAATGGCAATCATGTAAAATAGTGAAGAGATCTGTTTTGGTTTTTAGACGTCATGTGTTTAGCATGAATGTGTAAGTCAAGATTGTCACCAATAATCTGATATCCCTTTGGCAAATTTGCCATCAACTTAGCTGTCACAGTTTTACAGGACTCTGCAAAATCAAATTTAAGGGATGAGTCAACATTGTCTACCAGTGCTTTCAGACAGCCCACAAAGGTGCTATTCTCAAATCCTTGTTCCACCACTGATGCTTGAAGTGCATTTATTGTTGTTGCAGGTGTACCGTTCCATGTAAGATTGAGTGACAATAAATCACATGTGGAAAACTCATTTGATTGTGAACTTGCAGCAGGTTGTATTTCTATTCCACAAGATGTACTTTCCTTTCCTGCTTTAATTATGTGAGCATTGATGTCTTTCTCATCTGGCAAAGGCAGATACCCCAATTCCTTAATTTTCTTCTCTAGAATTCCTAAGGCTTTGCAGGTTATTTGGGCCATAGTTAATAGAGGGAGATGGTTAGGAGACCCGGCAAACTTCAAAGGGGCATCTCTTTGTCCAGGTTTATTCGCGTCACGCTCTGCTGAACGTGCACACAATTTGACAACAGAGTAGAGAGTTACAAGCAGTTTTAAAACATCGTTCGATCATCGTTTAATATTATCGTGAATTAGTAGAGTTTTAGTAGAAATTCATTACGAAGTTATGCCAGGGGATAACTGTGCTGTGTTTGGATGTGGTTCATCCCGAAGAACTAAAGGTATCGGGATTTGGAAGTTACCATCGGGGAAAGACGAAGAGTCACGAAAATGGCGTGATGCTTGGCTGAAAGAGATCACGAAATGCAGAGAAATGGACCAAAATTTCAGAAATCAACTAAAATATGACAGAGTTTTCATCTGTGAAAAGCATTTCAAACCTGAGGATATTGAAATATGTAAGTAAGAGGCACATTTATAACGTGTTTGAGTTAATGTTTACATGTAATCGTTTGATCGCGCGTTGCTAAGTGCCTTGTTCTTAAATATGTTGTTTTGATTTTGATTTGCTTTATTTGCAGTTAATTCAGTGAAAATGACTAAAAAGAAGCCCAGATATGGTGCTTTACCAGTCTTAAATATACCTAAAAAAAAGCCACGAACCATCAAAGCCAGTACCACGACCAGCACGATCTGTCGTAAGAGAACAAGAGACGAATGTAAACACAAGTTGCTACGATACGTTTTATTTGGCGAATTCTGTCAGCGTTCTAAAACCCTGAAATCACTCAGTGATTGGAACTCTAAAGTACTTGGCGATAGAATTGTTTTCAAGAAAATGGTTGAGCCGTATCTCCTACCACAACTGGAAATTATCGTGGACGACAGTCTGGGCTTCACTATAAAAGTCTATGGCTCCTATCTGGTAGATAACCATCCACTGTACTTGGAATATCGCCGTACGGTAAAGAACATAACTTTGACCAGTTTGATAAAGTCTTTAGAAAACTACACAATATGCTGTGGGGTTAATGAAACTGAAGTGACACAATTAAGTGGGAAACTCTACCATCATGTCATCCCCATCGATCATGACTCCATGGTA